ACCTATCCCAGAGGGAGGGGGAGGGAGGGAGGGAGGGAGGGAAAGGAAGTAAATCTCCGGATAAGAGAACTCTGGCCAACCGGTTGGTTATCATTGAAGAAGAATTTATGTGGTTTCGAACGTCCATTAACCGGTTCTCGAAGGTATCGGTATCGGTGGACAGGTTAACCGAGGGAACAGAAATTGAAATCAAGGCGTAACTGGATCAAGGGTTGATCAATTGTTCTTGAAACGGGGGAGTCGAGGATATTTGCTCGTCTCTGTGAACAGATTTATAACTTTTGTTACAAGGGATCTATTTCTGATGTTTTTGACAGAGGGTACAAATTAAAGGGTTAGTGAGGGGATTGATTGGTGATGTAACACTTGAAAAAGAAGTATATAGGAGAATTCAAGAGGTAGAAAGTAAAAGAGTTTATTCTTCAATCCGAGGCAAGATCGATTGTGATATTTCTTTTAAAGTTACAATAATTCAAAGATGGAGAATTTTTTGATTATGGATTTTAGGTTGATCTTTTTAATTTTCGAGTTGAACGTGCTTTTTTTAACTTTAAAGCGCACTGTTAGCTAAAAACTTTGCTCGAAATGGAGATCGTGTTCAATATTTTTCACGATAAAATGTTCGAAAGTTTCTTTGTGTATCAAATGTATATATGTACGAATGGATGATGTATCAGATCATTTTTAACAAAGATTGAAGATTTTAAGGGTCGCACGAGAGTTTTTCTAGATTCAAAAGAGAGTTTGAACGGACTCAAACGGGATTTGACATCATCAAGATTTCGATTGGATCTCTAATTAGAGATTCAAAAATTCAATGGAACTCAGAGATTTCATTAGATGTCCAATTAGATTTATAATTTCCATTGAATTCAATTCTACTGAGATTCGAGTAGAGTAACATCCTTTATATAGGCAAAGAGAATTATAGTATTGCAAAAAGATTGAAGATAAACTAAATAAAAAATATCTCTACAATATTTATGTTTCAATCACGCACAATTTACTCCTCATCTTCTTCTAAAGATCCTTTGGCGTCATCTGTAACAGTAAGAAAAATTTCAACGTATCTGTTGAGTATTTGAAAGTGATCATTTTTATTTATTTTAAAAGAAATTTTATTTTTTTCACAGATTATTCTTCCTAATTTAATTATATTCATATTAGTGAACGTCATCTACAATATCAAATTTGACGATTATAATGGAGGGGAAGAGAGAAAGGGATAAATTCAAGGGAAAGACAAAACAAAGATAAAACAAGGGAAGAGGAACGGAGAATTTGCAGTAGGTGAGGGTTCATTCGGGTCGAATGTTCGGGCCGACGTACGCAAATAGAATGCGAAATGTCAATTACGCCGTTCGCACTGTGCTTTATTAAATTCCGTTTCAGTTATTAGAGTTTCCAGAAAGTTTCTCGAAATGCTCGGGATACGATACTGCTTCATTAATGCGGTGCAGGAATGTCGAGAGGGCGATCAACGAGTGCACTTTAAGACCATTTTCGTCCTCTCTTCTACAAACTTTGGATATTATATTATCCGGTGTTCCCAATTAAATATGTATTCAAACCGGATAAGAAAATAATGTTTTCCCAGTTCTTTTCTTGACATCTCGTTTACCTTACTTTAAAACGTGTTGGAACTAATTTCCTTTTTTTCTTCAAAGATCTTTTTTCACGTGCAAGCTTACTCGTACTTCATAGATGAAGTTTCGCCCCTTTTTTCCTTACTCAGCTTTCCCTCCGTCTGAAAGCAAAAAAAGTTGAAGATATTAGAAAAGGGAGAATTGATTTGTTTCTTGATCGTTCTAAATATTATAATATATATATACAATATTTTCTTCAAGGATATTTTTTCATGTACAAGCTCACTCGTACTTCATAGATGAAGTTTCACCCCTTACTCAGCTTTCTCTCCGTCTGAAAGCAAAAAAAGTTGAAGATATTAGAAAAGGAAGATTGATTTATTTTTTGATCATTCTAAATATTATAATATTATAATATACAATATTTTCTTCAAGGATCTTTTTTCATGTACAAGCTTACTTGTACTTCATAGATGAAGTTTCATCCTTTTTTTCCTTATTCAGCTTTCCCTCCATCTGAAAGCAAAAAAAGTTGAAGATATTAGAAAAGAGAGAATTGATTTATTTTTTGATCATTCTAAATATTATAATATTATAATATACAATATTTTCTTCAAGGATCTTTTTTCATGTGCAAGCTCATTCTTCTATTTCATAGATGAAGTTTCGTCCCTTTTTTCCTTACTCAGCTTTCTCTCCGTCTGAAAGCAAAAAAAGTTGAAGATATTAAAAAAGAGAGAATTGATTTGTTTTTTAATCGTTCTAAATATTATAAAATATATACACGTATACAATAGCTAAATTTCTTTTTACTTTTTCAAATCTTCTTATTCTCTCGCGCGTGTACTAACAAGCACTAAAAAAAAAAAAAAAAGAAAGAAGAAAAGAAAAAGGATTACGAATATCCTTTCAACAATATAAAATTTCACTCTAGTCTCTAGAATGCCGAGATCCTTAGCCGAATCTTTACAGGATTGGAAGCGTCTAAAACTTCTGCCGAGAAGACAACGGCGTTCAATTACGAAGTACAAAGGGTTGGCCGATGTCGTCCGTTGTTCTTGGTCGGCTGTACGTTTGTTTGTCCTCGATGAGTCCGTCTGGGGCGGATCTCCATTGTTCTTACGGATTGGGTCTTTCGTAGGGATTAATGAGACTGGCTCTTGGCCCCTCAGACACCCGATTGAGAATCTATTTCAATAACTTAACGATTATACGAATTTTTCCTTTTTTCGAAATTTATCCTAATTATATCCTCAACACTTTCTCATGCCTCTTTCATCTTCATTCTCGCTTTTCTAGAAGTGAAATTATGAAATCGTACGAATATATATGTTGGTCCAATTGTGATCAGGTTCTCATCTTTTCGTAGATTATCCTTTATCATTCAAATTAATCTAAAATTATGAGATCCTACGAATATATATATATTGGTGTCCAATTGTGATCAGGTTCTCTTCTTTTCGTAGATTATCCTTTGTCAATTATTCAAATTAATCTTAAAACTAACGAGTATTGTGTATGAAGCTTGCTTTTCTAGAAGTGAAATTATGAAATCCTACGAATATATATATTGGTGTCCAATTGATCAGTGATCAATCAAAAGGCTCTCATCTTCTCATAGATTATCCTTTGTCAATTATTCAAATTAATCTCTTAAAACTAACGAGTATAGATTGTACAAATATTGTGTATAAAACTTGCTTTTCTAAAAGTGAAATTATGAGATCCTACGAATATATATATATTCGTGCCCAATTGTGATCAGGTTCTCATCTTTTCGTAGATTATCCTTTATCATTCAAATTAAGTTTAAAACTAACGAGTATGGATTGTATTGTGTATGAAGAGTAATTTTGCGTTTTCAAATTGGATATATGAAATTGAGAAAAATGTCTTGATTCCTTTCAATATCGTTGTACACAATTTTCTATAGTTTAGATATATGTGTAAAATAGATTTTTAATTGGATTATCCAATCAGTCCAACAACCAGCGAAATATCCGTCCTGTGCACGAGCACGTGTGCACTTTAATATCTCAAAAAATTTATCGTCGCAAGTTCTGCAGGATGGCAATTTTTTGGAGTTCAATTTTAATAACAGTAAAGTTCTTGGCACACTCTGTCCGCATACGCATAAAAGCCTACTTTTACACCCTTTCCACTCTTTTACAACGCTTGCTTTACGTGCCCATCCCGAAAATGTCCGTGGTAGGTTATTTTATTCAGTATCCTATGTCTCATATAATTTGCGTTTCAGAAAGAACTCATTTATTAGATTTTATTTTAATCTCCCTTAATTATTATTAACTTGATATTATAAATAGTATGAAACAATTGCAATACAATTATTGTCAACAAATTTGAAAAAATTAAATTAAAATATCGAAAAAAGAAAGTTTGTAATCTCTTCAATTATTTTTATCACTATCACTATTAAGATCTTCTTCTGTGCTCTTAGAATTGTATTACTGAAACGTATACTGTATTACACTGGAGTTTGGAACAGAGCCACGTATCTTTTTATTTCCTTTAGATACATCCTTCTTATACGTCTTCCTTTCCCATTTTGTAATTTCTGTTGTTTCGAATTTTAAGCTTCGAAATTTTTCAAATACTTTTTCCTTCTTTTAGAGAAGCGTTTATTTTCCAAAGAGATCAAATTTTAACTTAACATAATTCATAGTCAAACGAACGAATTCGAACTAAAAGAGAAAATTTCACGGTTTAATCCAATATCATTAATTTAATGGTAAATATCGAAATCGAAGAACACATAGATTGGACGAGTAGTGGCAAGTAAACCATCCTTGTATACCTTGCGGATTGTGTAAGTATCTCTGCATGTTTACTCGTACACACAAGCGCCAAGTATGAACACCTGATCTCGAAGGTTTCGAAGGGGGGTGTCTGCGGTTCAGCCGAAACCGAAATTACGGGGTTAATGGAAGTCTGGACGTGGCTGCCTTCCTTCCAAGGAAACGGAAAACGGAGCTGGAAAGGTATTTTCACTCTCCCTCTTGTTGTAAAAGAAAAAGAGCAGGTTGCCCTTTGCCGTGGAAATAACCGCCTCTTCCTATCTTTCGCCCTCAGACCTCCCTTCATTTTCGGAACAAATGCGCGCAATTACTTGTTACTTTGCCCTACGCCTCCGTCATTAGAGATAAATAAGAAATCGGGCTGCATTAACGGGTGAACCGGAAGATCGTAAAAAAAAAAAAAGAAAAAAAGAAAGGTCTCTCTTTTCTTTTGGCTCCGTTTCTCTTTACGAAAACAAGAATTGTAGATTAATATAATTTGTGCGAGTGAAAGATAAAAATATGGAAGATGGAGTAAAAAAGTTTATTATCGTTACAAAAATATCGTAGATTTATAAATTTTTAGAAATACGCGAATTGTAATTTGATTAAAAGAGTACACCAATTGTGTTAATATTTGGTATTATTTTTTTTAAATTTCATTAATAACGTTGATATTTAAGATTATTGCAATTTTAAATATTTAATCTTTAATTTTAAGTAACTTTTCTGCAAGTACTTCGTTATGTTCGATTAATTAAGGGGTATGGTAACTGAATCATGTGAGAATGATAGTTTTCAATGAATATTCAGGTTTGATTTCGAAAGTGGCGACAACTCCATCGTTGAAAGGTATAGAGATGCTTCCGTCTATCATGATGCCAGCATCAAAGCCAGAAGACTTCACGGAAAGCTTGTTGCACTTTTGTTTGCTGGGACAATTGTTTCTCTCGCAACGTGAATTGTGTATCTCTCGGATCATGTACATCATGTTTAAATCCTCTGAAAAGTATTGTTGAAATTATTTTTCTCTATCTATCTATATATTTTTTTTTATATTTAATTTAACGATTGAATTTCTTAAATTTTTCTTACATTTTCTCTTCGAATTAAGGCGCAAAATTTTCCCTAAAATAAATACAACTCTCAAATTTCTATAAATATCGTGCAATATTGTTTTATGTCCCCATAATTCAATTTTATAAATACTTTTAATTGGATTCTCGAGTTAATTAAAATGGAAATAAATGAAAACATTGCAAATTATAGAAACTCCATTAAAATAACTCTTCTTTCTCTACAGGATATTTCGTTTAATTAAATATTTTAATTTTAATGAAATTAAATGTTTAGTAAATATTTCGTATATTAAATTCAATTATTTCCATTATGTACAGAAAAAGAATTATGATCAAGGATATATTTGATTGATAAATCTTATTGTTAAAATTCTATTGTGCGATATTTTTTACGATATAAAAAAATTGATTTATTGAGCTATTGAACATATTTGAACATATATATTTCATATACATGTTATTTAAATTGATCATTTTGATAAATCAACAAAATTTGATTTTCATCTTATCATCTTATTACGATAGTTATTAACGATTCAATATTGCATTACCTTCAGAATAGATGAGAGCCCGATGATATTTCTTCAGTATTTTGTAAATTTCGTGGCGGCTTAGCTTTTGGCCGGTTGCAATTTCCACGATTTTTTCTACAGTTTCAGCCGACTGTATGTTTATAGTTTTATACCAAAATCGGGAACCCGTACCCGTGCAAATGCACATACCTAAACGAGGAGGAATTCGAATGGAATTAGATGTTAAAATTTTCAATTAATTAAAAAGTAAAAATAATTAGAAGTAGAAGAAAATTCAAGTAGAAAGATGTATTAATGAAATCGTTCAAAGAAGTTATATTTGTATATATATTACTTCATAAAACTAAACTTTTAAATATTCTAAATGTTATTTTCTTTTTCTATTAATTTTCTTTTTATAATTAGAAAAATAAAACAATTGATCGTGCTTGCTTTCTACCTTACATTTATTTTGCTTTAATTTTTATTTTTTATTTTTTTTAACAAATATTTGATAAAAAATATAAAAATTAAAAATTCAATAAATAATTTATAATATATAATATTACTTTTTATTCAGGAAAATTATTTAATTCTACATTTACATACCTGAACATCGAATTTTGTACGATTTTTGTTCCTCGATATCAAGGAATAATGTAATCGGTCTTGCTGCCAAAAATTCTCCTATAAACACCTAAATTAATCGAAAAAAATTTTCAATATTTATATACTATACATATTTTCTTTTTAAATTTATCATGAAAACTAACTTCGTTTAACGCCAGCCAAGGTAAGGTCCTCTCACGGGGTTGAAGGGAGTCCTCTATTTTCCTTTGTATCGATCGTGTAAGAACTCTGAGAATTCAATTAACTTTAATTAAAGCAATTAATGAGATTGATCAATGGTTCGAGATGTTTTACATTCGTTTCTTTTTTCTTTTTTTTTTTTTTTTTTCTCTCTTTCTTCCATTTACCGTGGAAACGAAGGTGGCGAGGAGAAGGAGTTTCGTTCAAGGAATAAGAATACGCGAAGCAACAGTGCTCGAGAGAAATGAGTATTTAATTTTAATGACATTAACGAGGAAGAATGAAGGAGGAAAAGGGAACGAAGGAGGAATGGAAGGTAACGAGGAACAACAAAAGAGTAACGAAATTGCACCAATTGATATAATTATATTAATATCGATATAAATGGTTTGATCTGTGTAAAACGAATAATTGATAATTGATGATAATATTAATAATAATAACGTTGATTATCAATATCAGAGGATATTATTTTGAGATAGGTCGATAAGTTTTCTCGTTTTTTTGTAAGTGAATGAGATTAATGTCATTTTTATTTTAATGAATTCTTTCTTTAAATAAATAATTTTAAACTTATTATTTTAACATGTTTTATAAAAGGAAGAATGAAAAATTAGTAGTGAAAAAACGCTGTGAAAATTGAAAAAAATATATATGAAAATAATGAAATATAATGAAAATATAATGAAAATTTCATAATAAATTATTGTTAATATTTATTCGCTAATAATTTCGTAAAATTTTCTATAAAGATATGACCAATGTTCTGCTAGATTAAATACATAATGGATGATAATCAAATAAAAGCTTTGACCGGAAATAATTCGATTAAGATAACGCACGAGTAATTAATATTCAAACCAAGTATTGGATATTATATGTATATTTGTACAAGTTAGAATAAAACTAGAAGATTTTTTTGGCCAATCGATAACTATGTTTTGGCATACACATTAATCACAGTTATAGTAACAATTTTTCTTTGATAAATTTGTTTTTCATATAAATCATGGTTCCTCGTAAATTACCTGTATATTGTAATTTATGTTTTATGTTATAATAGATAAATTCAATTATCAAATATATACGATAACGATATCAAAATCACAATGGAAAGTATGATTGAATGGAAAATTATTTTTCTTTCTATAAATCATTTAAATAAAAACCAAGCCACTTGGTCCTTTTCTTTTTCTTTTCATATAATGGTGATTTTTCTATAGAGTGTAATTTATAAACTTTACTTCAATTGTCAAATTTTTATCAATATGTAACAGTTATATATCAAAACTTGATTATAATTTTAAACTTAACAAACAAAAAATAATTAACTTCTTCCCTTTTCTTTTAATTTTTATAAATTACTATTTCTTTTTATACTACTCAATTTAAAATTTCCATTCATTCTTTGAACAATTTGTTTATATCAATTAAGAAATATACTTGTTTCTCTTCTTCTGTAAATTACCATTCCTTCAAGATTTAAAAAAATTATTAAACAGCCAATATATCAATAGTATAACAAAATAAAACTGATATACAATTCATCCCTCTTCTCCCCCCATTTTCATTCTCCAAACAAAAAGAAATCCAATTCTCCTTCCCTCCTTTTTTTTTTTTCTTTTATATACATATATATATATATATATATATAAATTACGGTTTTTCGTAAAATTTCCTTAATATATAATTAAAAAGTTAAGACTTCTTTGCACGAGTCGTAACTACACGGTTATTGTAATTTACAAGTTATAACTGCCAAAGTTCCGGGCGTGCAAGAGGTTATAACTCGAAACTACTCGTTGGAGAGAGGACCGGGCCGTGAAATGAAGACGCATTACGGCCTTTATGAAAATTCAGAATCGGCGATACGTACACCTTGCTTAAAACTTAAGAGAATAGATTGCCCCGTTATGCGATTCGTCCCTGGATAGAAAGGGAGGGAAGATACTTTGCCCGGGGAATTTTATCGTTTTTACCGATGTAATTTAAAGTCTTGGAGAACCGCTGAAGCAACGTAAAGTTTAATCTTTGAAATGGAACCGGAAGTAGAAACTCGAAATGTGAGCTGAGTCAATGAAAATAAGAAAATATATTAAATTCTCTCTCTCTCTCTCTCTCTCTCGCTAATAATATCATGAAATTATAATTTTATCGTTGGAGGAGAGAAACAAGTATCCAGACGATTCCATTCTTTTTCTTTTTTTGTTTCAACGTTTGATTTGAACGAAATGTGGATTAATATGAAATTTCTTTATAATTGTTCGTCGAAATAGATCTATGATTTTAATATATTATATCAATTCAATTGGACGAATTCAATCTTTGAAATTGTCTCAAGAAAATGGGAACGTTGATAAGGGAAATTTCTCTACCCAAAGAATAATAAAAATGCGCATATTGATTTTTGATTAAAGGATAGGACAAAGTTTTTCTCTTCCCCTGCAAGTAACCTACTTGTGTCTTCTCTCCCCGAACTCGCGGCTCTTCTCGTGTATATGAAAGGGTCGTCTAAAAAGTCCCTCCCCGACCATTATCGTTTTTATACGACTCCTCATCAATGTATCGTAGTCTCCTTTGTACAGTTTCTCGAATATGCGCTCGATATCGGCCACGTACTTCGAAGGGACCGTGAAAGTGTTCTTCTTCGAGATATTTGGATTGATCCCGCATACAGGCTTCCTGTTGTTCGTAATTAATTTCGAGGCTAGAAGGAACATGCCGTCCCCGCCTATCGTGATCACCAAGTCTGCCCAATTCATGAATCTCGACGCGATTCCCATTCTGTTCGATAAAAGATACAGTGAATATTAAAATAAAGAAGTTTTGCTGTGAATTTAAAGAAGAATCGTTTATTATAATCGATATGCAGGACTTGTCTTTATACTACATACTTCTAGATGTTTATTTAATTAATTGAGAATAATATCTCGAATTCGAATATTTTAAAATATATTGTTTATTAAGGCGAGTAAAGATTAAAATTTTATCTTAAAAAAATATATATATATATATTTAATCACTTTTCTTTTGTAATTTTTAGACTTAATTAATTGTCACAGAGTTCAAGTTAATAACGCGTTAATTACCGAATTAATTTTACCAAAGACGATAAAAGAGAGAAAGAGAGAGGGCAAGAAACGTGAATATTTTCCCAATTACATCCCTTTTTAATTATCATTGTTATTTTACAGAGAGATAGTAGATAACAAATCTACTTAAACTTGGTTATCCTTAATTAACATCCGAAATTAATTTCACCGAAAAGAAGATATAA